TACGAGGGTGATCCGTCTCTTCCGGACGAGGTGTTGATGCCCTAAGCCGCAAGGTGAATCTCCTGAATCTCCATCCGGGAAAAGCGAATGTCGTTGTTGATGCCCTAAGCCGCAAGGTGAAGGGTGACTTGACTTATGTTGTTACTCATCAGAGCCGTCTGATCCAGGAGTTCGCCCGGATGCAGATTCAGGTGGTGGATGCACTTCCTACGGTGATTGCGGGGAGTGTCAGTTCTATGCAGGTTCAGTCGACGTTGAGGAAAAGGATCCGACGGGAGCAGGCTTCTTGAGAAAAGTTATATTTTTTAATTACATATAGGGAGGATATAAGATTTCTTATATTTTTTATGTAGTATTTATTGGGTAATTGTGTTTATAATTTTTCTATTTAAAATATATTAAACACGTGAACGTTTTAGTTTCTATATTTTTTTTCATAAATCACTCATTATTTTATCCCAAGATTACCTATTAATTTACCAATTGAGTTACAATTCTTACATATTAAATATTATATAATTAAAATATTTCTTGTTTTATCTGTTCAATATGGTACTTATATATTATATTAAACAAACTAATATAGTAAATAAAAAAGTTATTTAAAATTAGAATAATAAAGATTTTTTTTAATCTACATGTATAAATGTACAGATAACTATTGTCTATCACCTCAAATTTACACATAAAACTAATAAGAACAAAAAACTAACAAGCGTTTAACAACTCAGTTCGATTACATCGATAAATATATTTTTAGAAGGTTTTTTTTTTCGGAACGATAGATTATATTATAAATCAAAATGCACAAATTTGCGAATACACAGCAGCCAACGGCTGAATACACAGCAGCCAACAACTGAAAAAGTGGGAGGACAGGTCAGAAGACCGCCTAGAATCCCGGCTAGCAATGCTAGAATAAAAACTCACAACTAAACTAACCAACAAACACAACAAAACACAACTAAAAAGACCCCAATAGGGTAATACCCTAGTGTCATATCCCAGTGGGATAATAGTTTGACACTCGGGCTCACAGGGGCCAACAGCCCAAACTAAAAAGACAAGATACGAACTAAACTAACACAAACAAAAACAGAGAAGACAATGAAAAAAAACAAACAACACACAAGTCCTCCCTCTACAGCAAATCCTAACCAGACTGGCAGCCACCAAATCAACCCTGGGGGATACAATAGCATGAGAAGAGCGACCCCTCCACTGCCAAACAGCCTAGCTGAATCGAAACTCATACTACGAAACCCGCCCAAAGCAAATTCTCCCAACGCCTGAAAACATCGAGAAAGCTCCCAACGCCTGAAAACAGCCTAGCTGGGTTTACTTTGGTGTTTTGATCTTCAAAAAGAGTTGGCGGCAGACTCTATTTGGGTGAATGGATGCTCTGTTGAAAAAAATGATGGGGCAGAGTT